AAGTCAATAACTGTTGGTAAATGTTATTCTGATGTGTCAAACAGAGTTTATCCTTAGTCTTCATCAGAATACGAAATTTTTTAAAGTTGCTGGGAAGCAAAAATTTCGCCACTAATCTAACAATCAACCTTATCGGAGATTAAATGATCATGAATTTAGATTTTTTCCTCTCTTCCATCATGCTTTATTCATCATCAGAATATCGTTTTTTCTCTGCTTCTCTTTTCATCACAATGAGCCACCAAAATCAATAGTCCATCTTATTATTGCTATCAATTTCCATTATGATGGCATTTATTATGCTTTGCTGGGAGTTAACCTTTGATCAGTAAAGAGTGTTGAAAGACAGTTAATGGATAAGAAAGATGTGAGTTGATTTGTTGTCCTCTTTTTGCACAACTTACCACTCGAATGGAATGGAAATTGAAATTTGGTCACAAAATTCCAGAATGAGTTTAATCATTGCAACCAATTTCATCAGCTATTCAACTAATTTCTTATTGGCAAAGTCAGAGGTCAGAAAGGGAACGAGCAAAAGATTTGCAGAATTTCTGATGGCAAAGAAGCTTGAATAACGAAATTTTTATGCACATAAACTCAACCATTTGCATTTGGATATCATTCATTGAAAATTTACATTGAAGCTCACAATTGTCAGTAATACTGAAAAGAAACCAAAAGTGAATTTCAAGACAAACATAGATTCAATGTGCTTTTGCCACGTACTTTTGTGCAAAGGGAATGACACTTTTACCATCACATTGACATGATCTTTACTGACTCTAGTTGCACAAGATTGTAACCGAAACTACAGAACGAGGCAAATCTACCGAATTGGAAATGTGATCTTCTCTGTAAGTAGTGTCACTACCAAAGCGCTTCTAAAAGACAAGAAGTTAACATTTTTATTCTTCTTCAAGACTTCTTTTGTGAATCTTTTTCATCTTTTCATCATTAACCATAGTCGGACTCATATGAGCTCATATCAAAGCGCATCAATCGAGCTGAAACTCATCTAATTATATTCTCACCATACTTCAGATTCATTGATTTCCATCAAAGAAACTTCATGACTTTTCCTCGCTAACAAAATTTCTCTATTTTTTGAACAATTTGGATGAAAAATAAATCCTTTTCAAGCATTTATTCAATTCAAATAATGTATGATAATTGCATTGAATGTATCATATTTACTCAGCAATCTGTAAACTGAGAAGGAGAAGATGGTTCATGAAAAACTAAAAGAATCAGTTTAGTAAAACTAATTAATTTTGTGAAGAATTAATTTTGAGTTTGTTTCTACTGAAAAGACTGTTACCGAACAAAACAGAGCCTGAAGCATATTTTCATTTTTCACATGCATTTCTCATTATTTGCATACTCTTATTCAATGGTAACCCAAAAGGCTTCTCCCAACTGAACAAGAAACCAAATATGTTGGAATTAACTTTATCATATTCGTATTCATTGTTCGTACTCTCTTCATCTTTAACTTTGTCCATTTAGCAGAACACAATAGACTGAATTAATTAGAAAAGAGAATTGAAGAGAATCTCTTTCATGCTAATCTTGATTTGTTTCCTACGCATAATTCAAGTTTAAACAGGCAACAAAATGAAATTAATTCACAGACGAAACCATCCAACAATCGTAAACTCGATTACATATTTATGTCTGTCAATAAATGCATTATCATCATAATGTAATACTTTCAGATCACTTTTTTAACTAACTGGATTCATCTTGAATTTCACTCAATTACAGAATCATTTCCATTCCTTTTGTTCCCCAATTGTTCAATAGATGGTTCAGATAATTTGAGAACAATTTTCATCCCAAAGATCGACCTTTATCTTTCATTAACCTTTCTTCCGTTAATCAAATAACCTTTCATCTTTTGACTTCCTTTCCACTTCTCATCACAGGTTGACATTTAAATACATCAACATGTTTCATCTGAACCATTATTTCCATCGCCATCTCAGACAAGAAATGCCTTCTTCCTGAATTGGATAGTTTGACAAACAATGATTGATTGCCTTCATTTCATTATTTTCATATTAATAAATTAACCAAAATTTTCTCAATCCTTTCTTAGTCGAGTCGAGGTAAAGAAGCAACCAGACTTGACCATCTTGTATCCATTTAGCAGCAGTGATTAACCTTTTAACAGGACATGCGAATCAAATGGACAATCAGTTTTATCAAAAATGAAACCTTTTGTTTCTCTGAATGTTTCTGCATTTTAATTTAATTCCAACTTGGAAATTCTTAGATTCATTAATCACTGCAAGAGCAAATTTCTTGAGGCAATCAATAGAGTCTAATGTTTGAATTCAACTTGAATAGTTTACTCCTTTAGGCGTAAATCAAATAACTTTCTTTAAGAGTCGACATATGCATCAATAAGCATATATAAATATGAGTTGAATAAAAGCAATATGTTCAACTTGTGTCAACTGTGAAGATGAACTGAATTTACATTTCAAATTGACTTGTGATTCCATTTCAGATATCATTTCCATGAAATTGCTTATTGACAGAGTTTCAACTTTTATCAAAAGCAACTCAGAATTGCTCTGTAAAACCAAAGTCTCATCACTCTTCAACTGCAACATCTTGTGATGCTTCAAAAGGTTCATCTAATTGTTAGGAATCAACTCAAGTCTTAGTCTAGACTTAATCAACTTAAAAGATTATTAAAATAAAAGACAAAAAATTGACTTCCATAGACATTAAGAAACTAAAATGATGAACCTAAATTTGGGTTTTGCTACATGAAAATTATTGACTTATAATGGAGAGAAAAGCAGTTTTTAATGTTCCCTTCAATCAGATATTGAAGATTATTCTGTTACATGGTGTTTAGTGGATTGATTAGAGTGACTTTCCCATTACACACACTATAATATGATATTAATGAAGAATAATGAGAATCTCATGAACAAGGCAAAAAAGCTCTTAACTATTCTCAAGTTAACTTTGACTTTTTTTTGGGTTAAAAAACAATTGCTACCTCATCAGGTAAAGACAAGTAGACAATGTAACGATGAACCGTTAAAAGTAGGATGATAAATTAGGTAAATTAATCTTGCATCGATCCCATTACTCAAGTTTCTTTCATTAATGTGCCTTAAGAAGAAGAAGATGCTTTTTTGCTCTTCATTGGAGTGAAGGAAGACAGCGAATAAACTTGATGAGGTTTACATGGTAATTAGAAGACAATTGATATTCAACTTTGGATAGATGTTAATAAGTCGCTCCATTGTTTCCCTAATCAAACAGTTGATAGCAAAGTTACTTATCCATTGACTCAGCAGTCAGAAGCCAAAAAATCCCTTAAAATTCATCATTTGCTGGAAAACCTAAAAATTGGATAAAAGTAAATTCATTTAGATTTTCCTTTTAATGGAAAAAAATTTCATAAATTTCAAACTCTTTCTCAACAATCAGCATGAAACAAAATGCTAATCCTATCATGACAATATCTTTACAAGAATAATGAACATTAAAATATTCATAAACACGTTTAGACAAAATGTTTGGAATAAGAATCTTTAAAATTCCATAATCATGTATCCAAAGAATTGGAGAAATGGAAAGTTTGCCAAAACTTGAAATATCAAAATTTCCAAGTTTGGGTAAAGTCGAGTATTTTATTGAATCTGGACTTTTTACTTTTGCAGGTTTTCCTCACTTCGATCCATCCTCTTCCATCATATTTTTACCTCTTTTCACCTTTTTAGCCTCTCAATACCTTTTCCATTCACTGAATAACCCTTTTAACTTAATCATGTTTCCACTCATGATTGATGTTCAAGTCTGCATTTCTTATTACATTAGATATTGTCTTTCAAAGGAACGCCTTTCTCATCAGGAACACTATTTAAATGAATAATGAATGACAAAAAAGGATAACACAAATGTTAAGCCTTTTTTAGGTACTTTTACAATCTTTTTTTTCTTCTTCTTCTTCATCTTACAAAATTTCAATTCAGTTCCAAGTTGCATGCTTCAATCTTTTCATTAAACAGTTCATTAAAATGTTTCCTTGTTTCTATCCAACCTTTGTTAATTGACATTCAACCTGAAGACCTGAATCAATTGCTAATCTTGTTGACAAACTTGTCTGAAAAAGCTGCTAAGCTAAACTTTTTTAATCTTCAACTTCATTATTCTGGTTCAATTTAATCTGAAACTGATTTGTTCGGTTGAAAAGGCAATCATTGAGAAACTCGCAACTGATTACAACCAGAAACTGAGAAGAAATTTCGATTCCATTATTCTACATTTCAATGAAATTCTTTATGCACTTTCCATGTAAAATCAAGCATCAAAATTACTCTAATTACGAGTATAAGTTGAAGATTAAATTTTTAAATTAAATTTCGCTTCCATCCATTAAGGAGTTTTCACTCCAAGATTCAATGTGCGCCATAAATCTGGTAAACTCATTGTTGCTTCAAAATGTGAATAAAATTTTCATTTCATAACTCAGTTATTGATAAAATGTAATCCATCAATTTTCCACTTTACTTTCAAGTTTCATTCTCTTTTCATGAATCTTCTTATAAAGTTGATAAACCATTTCAAAGCTGATTAAAGTTACGTGAAATTCATTTTCTATCAAAAAGAAAGTCTATCAAAGTGAAAACTTTTTTCCTGATAACATTTCATTTCCAAAGTAAATTCAGACAAAACTTCATTAACTTTTTGATGGCTTGCAATTTATATCGTTAAATTTGACTATTACTTGTCAGTAACTGAAAGCTAAACTTGGAAATAAAAATGTACAGAAAAATATGAACATTCACTTTATTGCTTTACTTTTACATTCAAAACTCAATTTATGATTACTGGATAACAACAAAATTACTCGATATGAACAATTCAAATGAAGAGATAAAATGAAATGTGAATCCAAAGATGAACAGATGTTTAAAAGAGCATCAATTTGTATCAATTGCCTTCACTGAATTAATTGTAAATCTCATTCTTAGGCTTCAGTCTTTTCAACGGCCTTAAAGACTCTTATTACTGTTTCAACCTTGATGCTTGTTGGCTTGATCGTGGCTTATCATGCACTAGAAGTCCAGGTAATTGATTTCATTGTCCAAGATTCTCATTAAAGATGTCCATTTGAAGTTGCTTCAGAACAAGACTAAGAGATGATCGATAAATTGTGATTAGAAATGGACATTCATAAAACTCTAATTTCGATTTTCGGTTAATATTTGCTTTTCCAGAAAATTAACCAAATTTTGTCTTCATATTGAAACCTTTGAAATACTTTGACCCAAAAATAACCAAATCTTTTCTTCCTTTTTCTTTACCCTTGTTCACTACAAGCAGTTATTTATGATTGATAATTGTGCTGATGATTGGAGGATTGCAATGACTTGTCAACGAATGAGTAGTATAATGATTGAACTGTTGATATGTGCCGTTCACCCGATTCCAGGTGAATACTTTTTCTCCTGGCGAACAAAACTTTCCAATCAAAACCGTCAACCGCTCACTGTTCTGGTTCCTTTGGATGTTATCTTATCTCTTCCCATGTTTCTACGTCTTTACCTAATTTGCCGAGTAATGTTGCTGCACAGTAAACTGTTTACCGATGCCTCATCAAGGTCCATTGGTGCAATTCAAAAAATCGACTTTAACACTCGTTTTGTCCTTAAAACACTAATGACCATTTGTCCAGGTACAGTTTTAATGGTTTTCATGGTTTCTCTTTGGATTATTGGAAGTTGGACAATGAGACTTTGTGAAAGGTGAATATATTTTTGAAATGATCAAACCCATTGAGGAAAAAGCTAAAAATATAAAACCAACTAAATGACCAGAAAAACCAGGAAAAGCAAATGGTATAAACTGTTGAGTCTGAAATTATACAAAATACTCGACTATTTGAGTGTTTGATTGGCTTCGTAATCAGGTTCGATTATGAAAGCTATTCACTGAGGACTTGGTTGACTCTCAACTACTTTGCAATTGAAAATGACAGTAATCAAGTAATGTTTATGATGCATTAAAAAAGATTTCACCATTAATTTGCTGATCAAGTAAAAGTAAAATTGATGAAAGTTGTTGGTGAAAAGGATGATTGTTATGGATTGAAGTGGAAAGGCCATTGGACATTACAGTCCATTAGCTATTCTTGGCCAGAAATAATACTGAAACAATTGTTGAGGTTGAAGTACAGGAAAAAAAAGAACACAGAATAACACGATAATAAAAGTTTTAATCTTTTTTTTATTATTATTGTTCTTCTCTTCTTGAATAGTTTTCTCTTATTCTCTTCATTTCTAATCTTTTCTGAACTTTCCAATCCATTTCATGGAAGAAGCCAATCGATCAGTAAATAACATCAATTTAAAAGGTAATCTTAAAGACCAATAATAATACAGTAAGTTGGCTTTGAACAGTTTAGGTCTTAAAATTTAGGCAAACATTATATTTCAAAGTCATCATCTAATAGATGAATCTGGTCATTATTTCTTTATATTAGTTTCTATCAAATGGTCAAGATTTTTTCCTTCAGGTTGGGAGGTTAACGAAAAGGTTTACAACATTTCTTTCATCAGGTCGCTTCTTCCCAACATACCTTTCAATATCACTTTCACCTTTCACCTAATAAGTATCATTTTACTTTTCACACAACAAACTCATTAGTTTTACTCAAGACAAAAAGGTCATTAACTCGGACTCAGGAAGTCTTGTTAAATCTTGTCACAGCTTAAAGTGTGTCAGTAACAATATCCAACAATTGGCTAAATTGTTACAAAAGCATGATCAGATTCGTGAAAGATCAGTGAGTGAAAGATTTGTAACAATTTTTTCCGTCATTTCAATTGGAAAAGGTTTCGTCTGGTTTTAAACCCAAATTGTGAACCAGATTGGGTGGCAATTTTACTTGCTCTTCTCGTCTGGCAAAAGTGGTCAACTTGAACAGAGATACATTCAACTTCAATTTCATCCTTTAAGTTGACATAATGACACCGAGTGAAACTCGCTAATTCATCATGAAGTCTGTGAGTTTCAAGCCATGTAAAGAAATGACATGAAATTATAAAATATTAAAATGTGTTAAGAGTTTAAAGTCATTTTTGGGTTTTCAGGTGCAGTTGTTACATGGCTGTTACGTGGTTATACTTGAAACTCGCAGATGTAATTGAATGAAAAGATCAATATTGCCATGAACAGATTTTCGTTGCCACAACGTGGTTCTCATTTTACATCATCATGATAATTGTTTTGGAAAAATTGTTTTTCCTTGGAGATGGAAAGACTAAGGGAAAAAAGATGAACAGAATTGACTTTTGTTTGCTTTCAATTGTAATCATCAAATAGACCAACTGATTTAATCAACTTTCATCTCTTTTATTGTAAGGATAAACAGTAAGAATCAGAATCAAAGAGCAAAAAAAGTCTATTAAATATTGTTTCATCGTTCGATAATCAAATGAAATTGTTTAATTTTCAAAGCAAACTTGCAAAATGAAAATTAAAAACATCTTCAGAATACAATTTTTACCAGAAAATGATTAAGTCTTGAATCTTGGGTAAAGCTTCTAATCAATGGTCACAATACATTTCCAATTTAATAACTGATTCTTATCAAGCTCAATATGCTTTGTTTGCTGAATCTATTTCAAGATATTATCCAATGAAACAAAAGGTTGAGATTAAAGTTCAAATTTCAATCGATAAATTTTGTGAGATTGATTGAGGATTTGTGCTTTCAAATTGAATCATTGAATGATTGCTGATCAAAACTGTAAAAATGTTTCAATTGCTAATTTTAAATGATGTAATGATATTAACTCTTTTCAATTTATTCAATCAGTTTCCATGTGATTGGACATTTTCCCAATTTACTTTCAATAATCAATTTGTCGATCATTTTACATCTACAGCAAACAGAACTCAATCCATCTTGGTTAATGTAGATGTTAGCATTTTTTATCAATCAACTTGAAATTTAAATTTACAGTAAAGTCTTCAATATTGAATTGACCTTTTGATGAAAAAATAGCTAAATTTGCTTAATTTTGGTGTATTTTGATGAGTAAACATTTTCTGATCGATAGATTATTACAAAAGCTTGGATACAATGAAGTCTCACTTTTGGTGAAAGATAATTTCAGGTTGACAAATATTGAAATTCATTTGTCAACAAGGTAAATGTCAACAATTCAACAATAATTGAAATTTCAAAAATGTATTCATTAAAATCACAGCTAAACCTATTGTCAGTGAGATTAACACTTATTGCTATTTGCACATTAAATTTCGGATAAATAGCTCTATTTGCTGAGTAACGGTCAAAGAGTTAATTATCCTACTCTTTGGTAACGGTGGAAAAGGGTTTAGTTTTTTTAATTATTGTTACTGGTCTACTCTTTGGTCTTTAGATTGTGAATGTTTGAAAGATTTAATTGTTGAATTGGAAATGAGGAAAATATTTCCATGGAAGAAATCTTCAGTTGAATTATATTTTATCAGTGAAATGCCCTTGCCTTGGCCTAAAGTTAACACATGAACATGTGAAAATCATGTTTCTTGCTCTTGCCATTGGGAGATGGATTTTTGTGTAATCTTATTGGTAAAAAAGTGAATTAAACCCTTGTTTAAATTGAATTTAATGACATTTTAATGAATTTCATTGCAGGAACCATGATAAAGAACACGCCAATCTATTGAATACTATGTGGTTAACAGCGATTACATTTTTGTCTGTTGGTTATGGTGATATTGTACCAAATACTTACTGTGGTCGAGGAATTGCTGTAACAACTGGTTTAATGGTAAGTGTCTAATGAAACAAATAGAGAAGAGAATGTGAAAAGTGAAATTTTTGCCTCAAAAATCAAAATAAACAATGGTCATAATGAGTCAAGTAATGTTATCAAATTTGGTAGCTTATTTCATTACTTACTTGCTTTGACCATTATGATATTGAACATGGTAAGGAGAAACAAAGATGTCGATGAAGAAGCAAAAATTGGTTTATATAATGTTGAACAAATTGGATGAAAATAGCATGAAAAATAGGATTAAAATGAAAAGGGAAAAAACGTGAACAGAATAATTTTCTATGGAAACATGGCAAGAAGTGCCCAAAGCGTTTTTCAATATTTCCCTGGCCAATTTATTCTCAGGCATACATGAAAATGTTGCTGCATTAAACCAGAATAATGTTTGACCATAATAACTACCATTAAACTAGATTTATTCAATGTAAGTCATTGTATTTTATTTTTGTTGATTGATTAGGGCGCCGGTTGTACAGCATTGGTTGTTGCTGTGATTGCTAGAAAGCTGGAATTGACTCGAGCTGAGAAGCGTGTTCATAATTTCATGATGGAAACTCAATTAAATAAAAGGGTAAGTGTCAATAAACGCATAATCCTAAAGCAACTCCACAAGTCGATATCATTGAAATTTTTCCCCTTCAACATGATCTTTGTCAACCAAAATTGGATGAAAGAAATGTTTTCCCAAAAAACACATTTTCAGCAGAAATTGAATTATTCAAAAAAGAGTTTTCAAGTTCACTGGGAATCCCAAGTCTTTGTTATAAATTTCATCTTTAAAGGTTGAAAGGATGAAAAAATGAAGCTTATGAAATTTCAATGAATATCCAGTCTATGAAAAGGTCAAAGATTTGTTAGGATAAAAGTCAAACTTTTGCGGTAAAAAAATTTGATGGTTTGATTGAAATAATCAAAAGTATCATTTTTCAAATTTTAATTTTCAATGTTTTGTCTCTTCTTTTTACAGTTAAAAAATTCTGCTGCCAATGTATTGCGAGAAACTTGGCTGATTTACAAAAATTCCAAGCTTGTCCAGAAAGTCAGCCCATCCAGAATCAGAAACCATCAAAGAAAATTTCTTCTGGCCATTTACAGGTAATATTTATTGACCCGGAAATTAAGTTTGCACCATTCAAAATTCAACCTTATATTCTTTACATTCAAGATTTACACCAGAAAAGAAGAAAATGTATTCTAATTAATCAAACTTGAAATATAATTTAGGATTAAACTGCAATTTATTTGGTTCTTAAGATACAATAAAAGTATAAAATGAATTGTGAATGTAAAGAAGCAGTTTTGTTCACGTACAAACTCAAATTCCGTGGCCTAATTTATAAATTTCAGGCTCAACATTTGATTAATTTTTTAGCTTGAGAAAGGTTAAAATGGACCTAGTAAAGTTAAACGATAATACAAATACTATATCTGATATCGCTAAGGTAAGCATTGTGTATTCATTTCAATGAAACTCCCTTCGCTCAAATCAAATAACACTCATTAATATTGTCTTATAAATTGAAAACATAAGTGACCGTAAAATCAGTGATTGTTGTGGCGCCATCTCATGATGAAATTTCAAACTTTAACAGATTATTCAATCATTTATTAGAAATGTTAGATTTTTTGTTGGAATAGTTAATACATTTCATTGATTAGTAAATAATGATTTGCAGTAAAAAAATTTGAGTCAATGTATTGTCTTTACAAGGAATTAACATTGGAATTTGAATCTCAAGCTTTTTTAAAAATTTAGTTTTAAAAATGTAACTTCCCAATGAAAAATTTTATGATAATTGAGTTTGATTAAAGAGATGAATGAAAGCTTAAAGATGAAGGTTTCTTGAGTCATACATCGGTTTATCCTTACATTATCTATGACCATTGAGACACCTTAACTAAACCAATCATTATATCAAACAATACTCATAAATAGACATTTAATTAGTTGCCAGAGTTGTAAAGTGTTAGTTTTCTCGGAAAAGTTGATCGAATGACAGGTTTTATCTGTGCAATTGATATTGGAAATTTTAAAGTCACTTTTGAATCAATTTATATTTCAATTTAAATCAATTGCGTTTATCAATTTGAGTATTATTGAGCATTTTTGAACAAATCAATCAAGATACAATTTATAAGCCAATTCTAAATATAACCTTTTCTTTTCATTTATTTAGATTCAAACTGAAGTTCGTGATATAGTCTTGGATATGAACTCACGTCAAGAAATTTTGGAGGAACGTATAGTTGTTCTTGAAGAGAGGCTTGGTACTCTTCAAGAACAGTTAGAATCACTTCCAGTGGCCTTAAGTCGAATTATCGAGCAAACATTAGTCCCTTCTATTCAACAAACAATATTTCGTTTGTCACACCAAGGCCTTACTCACACCCAGAATGAGCCAACATCAGGTAAAAGCTAAAATGCAATTTATGAATCTAATAATGTTCAATAAGTTCGATAACAGTGAATTAATTGTATTCATTTTTAAATTTGATAGGTAATGCTGTTAACGGGATCAATATAACAACGCTACACTCACAGCCTTCAGGAACCACTACTTCAAATTCATCGAGACATAATTATCTTCATCCTAATGATGCGGCATCTCTTGTAAACCGACCTTCATGGTCATCAACAAGCCATAATACTGGAGGAACCAACACCAGACAGTCATTGGCTCCATCGATCCCAAAACCAAGCTCATTTGATAGATGAATACATTTTAAAGAAACATTTATTGTAATTCAAATTTTTAACTCTTTTATTATTATTGTATATAAAAATGATTCAATTATGAATAATTAGTTTTAAATTTTTAATCTTTTGCACTCATTTCTGGTGTGAATTTTCAGTAAAACTATCGATTTAATTTCTACAATAGGATAAAGAGCAAAGAGTAAAAGTTATGAACTCTGGATTCATAGATTTGGTGAAAAATACTTCAATAGACAGAAATGTTAAATCCATGGCGAATTTCCGATATCTCATTTTTAATAACAATATATAAATCTCTTGTTCCTTTTTCACTGAAATAATTAACTATTGAGAAGAAGCTTTCATTTGTATCTTTTTCCATTTGTATTCGTTTCCGTTTCCATGTCCATTTCCATTTTTTCATTTGTATCTGGACTGTAGTTCTCGTGCTATTAGGTTGAAGTTTGAGCTAACGGTTTGTCCATTGTATTCTAACTGACCTAACGACATCTAACTGATAACCTTTGAAGATCAGATTCACCTTTAGAGTCTGTTGAAATTGATTCATGTGCCATAAACTCTTTCCTTTCCCTAACTGATGTGGAGTACAGAATGCTATTTATAATTATCTCCAACAAAACTAGAAATTGAGAAAAGAATTGTTCTCTATCTCTCGATATTTCACAAAACAGGGTCTAAAATACTTTAATGGACTGAAATGGTCATAGACTTGCTAAATGTTGATACATCATTTTCAAGAACAAGATATAAATCTCTTGTTCCTTTATCGCTGAAATAATTAATTAATGAGAAAAGGCTTTCATTCGTGCCTTTTACAATTCTTTCAGTTTCGGTGTGTGGGTTCTTCATCGAAAAATGATAGGTAATATGAAATGGAGGTGTTCCTCCGTGAATTTTAAAATCAAGTTGAAGTCTTTCAAACACTCTAACCTCGGTTGGACCATCAACAGTCAAATTAGTAATTGGAGCTCTGCTTTCCAATGTAGTGCTGAATGTACCAGATTTTTGTATAAGACGACTTCCATTGGTTTTAGTTGCTGTAACAATCACTGAAATGTTGTTCAGTTGAGGCTGGGAAAAAGTATGAACAATAACCTTAAGTCTTTCCTCTTGTACTTCATCATTAATAATCCATTTATATGTTATATTAGCTGGTGGGATTCCACATCGTCCAGTGAAATACCCAGTAGGATCACGAATATCAGCAATCAGTTCAACCGGTATTTTAGTTGAAATAAAATTTTTACCAAAAATAGCATCTTCAATGAAATTCTCTCTATTGATAAATCCGACCAGTTCATCTAGAAAAGTTGATACAAAATTGAAATGCAAAGTGTTTCAGTCAAATTGAATTATATAATAGTTACTCTAATTTTTTCGGTTCCATATATTCAATCAGCTGCATTTTCTTTCCTTCTAGAAGATCCAAAACAAAACTTTGACTAACTTAATTTTTTGTTAATTTGTTGTTTGAGTATATGGAATTGAAAAGATTTTCAAATGAAAGGACGAAAAAGTTAGTAATAAGTAATTAGAGTGCTTCAGTCGATCAGGTGGAACCTTGATTGCTGAAAACGTCTTAAATTTGAATATGATTTTTGTGGTAGGGAAAACTGTATTGAAAGTTGCACCACTTCCACTGGACCAGCCTGCATATATGATATCCAGTATGGGCAAAAGAAACTATCACTCAGGTTTTTCAATGTAGTAATGATAAAGTTTGAAAGTTACCTGAAAGCTGGAAATCATGAAGAGCAGTTGCAATTAAACGTGAAGGGACGCCAAGAAACCAAACATCAACTTGCACTGTATAGTTACCAGCTTTTGGTGTTGAAGACGATTCAAATGTCACTGAATATTCAACTTCACGTTCAATTGAAACAATGGTTTTATCATGTTGAGGAAATTGGTCAAATTTGAACCGATATTCAAATGATGGATCATCTGTTCTATATTTATTATTAACTGTGAAAGTGATTGGTGCATCAAGGGTAACAGGTCCATCGTTATGGACTTCAATCCAATCACAGGCTAGAAAATGAATAGACAAGAAAAACGTGAATCAAACGGATTCTCAGATGTGATTCAGTGCTACACATATTCGTACACAAAAACTTCAACGACAGCTTTATATTAAAGTGTACAACAGTGATGCGCAATATTCATTTCCAATATTGATTAGGACAGAATGTCGGTATTTTTCATGGAAATTCACCACTTTTTCAATGGACAAAATAACGATAAATATAGATGATTATTGATAACGATAATATTGCACATCTCTAGTGTACGGCTTTTGATCTATTTATTTGATAGATTATTTGATAAATTTACCATAAAGATAGAAGGTTTCAGGGGCAGTTCCTATCAAATATGTAGGCACACCGAGGTGACATTCCCATACATCAACTTGTAACGTAAATTCGCCACTTTTCTTGACACAAGTTGATGCAAATGTTACTGAGTATCGAACTTGAATTGAAGTTGAGACAATGGTTTTATCATGTTCAGGAAACTGGTCAAATTTGAACCGATACTCATATGATGTGTCATTTGATTTAGAGGAATTAAAAACTGTGACGGTGAATCCGATTGGATCACTAATTGATTGAGGTCCACTGTCATGCAAAAAAATAGCTCTGTTGGGTGAGTAAGCACACTCGACATAAGCTGAAAAAAAGACAAGAATTACGGTAAATTGAAAGATTCTCAAAGATGACTGAATAAAGATAAAACCAAAAAATGAATTTATGTATAAAGATGATTGGTTTCAGCATAGATAGTTCATTAAAAAGTTGCATTTAATATTAATAGTGAACTTACATATTCCATTGTTGAATGAGACAATACACAAAAGTAAGAATGATGATAAAATTTTCATGGTTGGTCTGAAGTTATTGGCGATTTGCACTTGAATAATGTTAACTTAAAAGTTACTTGCAAATAATCATCACAACAGGACTCCGATTATAGCTTTATTTTAGGGTTTACAAGCGGCAATGACCTGTTCTGGCTGTAAAGGTCAACCGCACTAGAGGGCGATTGAGATAAAAGTTGCTTCAACAGAGTTTTGTTGTGATAAGTATTTGAAAATAACTTTCATCTAAACATTGTTCAAATCATCTATGACTTTAGATCAACCATGAGAACTTTATCATCATTCTTCATCTTGTGTCTCGTCTCATTCAACAATGCAATGTGTAAGTTTGATATTAATTTGATGTAATTATTTAATAAACTAAAGGTGGACCCCATCAAATCTCAATTCATTGCATCGAGATTAATTTTTTAAATTGAAAGAATCAAAGAAAAAAGATAAGATGTGATTTTACACCAAGTCATAGACATATTGAGATTTTTAATTTCAATAAATATTAGTTGATGGTGTCCACCTTAAGTGTACTGTAATAAGATAGCTTGAGGTTTAAACACTCAATTATCTCCGGTTGTTGTCTATTTTTTTATTTCCAGTCTATGACACAACTCCTAGGCTGTATGACTTTGGACCTGGAACGATTGGTGCACCAATGTTATTTAGATATTCATTTGGCGATGCAACAATGGGTCCTCCGTATGAATTTCGATTCAAATTTGCCCAATTTCCACAATATGATAAAACCATTGTCTCAGATCAAAATGGTGAAGATTACGTCGTAACATTTGAATCAGCGAAAGCTGGTAACTATACAGTGCAAATCGATGCATGGTATTCTCGTCACGGTATTCCTTTTCATTGGATAGGAACTCTTAATTCTACCTTCCAGCTTACAGGTAACGTTTGGAATCATCATCCGCGAAATACCAACATTAAGCTCATTTTATCTATTTTTCTAGATTCACTAACTGGAACTATAGCTGTAAATGATGATGCAAGAAAAAAAGTTGTTTTCACTGCAGAGACGTTTAAACTGTCTGCCATATTGAGTTATTATTTCGGGTTCTTCAACTCAGCTAATATGACTTACAAATGGATCATTAATGATGAAGTTCAAGAGGAAAGTTCTAAGGTTATTGTGCATACTTTTTCCCAGCCTCGACTGAACAACATTTCAGTGATTGTTACAGCAACTAAAACCAATGGAAGTGATCTTATACAAAAATCTGGTACATTCAGCACTACATTGGAAAGTAAAGATCCAATTACTAACTTTACTGTTGATGGTCCCACCGAGGTTAAAGTGTTTGAAAGACTTCAACTGGACTGCAAAATTCATGGTGGAACACCTCCATTTGAATTCGATTACTTTTTTTGGATTGATAATCCTTACAGCGAACATATTAATGTTATTAAGCCTTCGAATGAAAGCCTTTTCTCATTAATCAGATATTTCAGTGCAAAAGGAAAAAGAAGTCTAAAAATTGTTGCTAAAAATGATGTATCTTCAATTACAAAATGGATGGACATTTCAGTCTATTAGTCTAAAGAACGCAATTTTTACCACTCGAGAAATCTTGGTAAGGATTTACATGGTTTCTGATGTTACTTTTCAGAAAAGATGAATCTCTTCTAAAATACTAGGTCAGACGATCGCTCACCGAAAGCGGATTGTGCTAAAAACAAAGTCAATCATCATTTAATAGAGTTATATATTTTTCTATGCATCAGAATAAAAAATTAATTAACAATTAGCGAAATCACATACGAGTTCGAAAAAACTGATTAATCAAAACATCAATTTATTAAATGTAAATTTCAATAACCAGCTCAATAATGTCACTTTTGTAATATTGCGATTGACATCTGATTGATAATCATTATTGTTGAAATTCAATTTGAGTGTGGAGTAAATTGTTAAATTTATTCATTATAAAAGCGCATTTTTTACTCATGAATACAAATCAGATAGAATGGGAATTTAGAGGTGATGCATGTCTATTCGTTCAAAAAAACAATGATTCGTTTACAATTAAATGACGACAGTTATATGTTTACGGTATCAATTAATTGTATAAATAAAATTGGTTTTATATTCGATTTGATATAGAATGTCAACAATTTAATTTCTACAACAGGATAAAAAGCGAAGAGTAAAAGTTATCCACTTAAAATTTCATAGATTTGGTGAAAAATACTTTACTGAATAAAACACTTAAATACATTAAACTTTAATGTATTAAAGTTAATGGCAACTTTCTTGCCAATTTTCGGTACCTCATTACTAACGAGGGAACCTGACGAATGCGACATAAAATCATGAGCCAACATGCTTTTGAGTTTCATACTCATGAGTTTTATCGATGAAAAATGAATTTAAGGTCTCTTTTACGGTCACATAGAGCGGGTGGCTTAACTCAAAAGAAGTAATCTGTTGTACAAAAACAAAAAATCTGGTTTCGCGTGCATTGCTAAACTAGAACCTCACTGAAATTGAGAAAAAAGCGATTGAATTTCTATAACAGAAGGAAAAGCAAAGAGTAAAAGCACTTAGAATCTCATAGATTATGAAAAATACTTTAATAGACTGTAATAATTAGACTTTTGCCGAAATTATTTACATCATTTTTAACATTAATGTGAAAATTTCTTATTCCCTTTTCGCTGAAATAATGAACAATTGAGAAAGAGGTTTCATTTGTTCCTCGAGCAACGCTTTCATAGATGTAAGGTTTTTCCATAAAAAAAGAATAGTCATATTGAAATGGAGGTGTTCCTCTATGAATTTTAAAGTCCAGGTGAAGTCTTTCAAACACTTTAACCTCGGTTGGACCATCAACAGTCAAATTAGTAATTGGATCTTTGCTTATCAATGTAGTGCTGAATGTACCAGATTTTTGTATAAGATCACTTCCATTGGTTTTAGTTGCTGTAACAATCACTGAAATGTTGTTTAGCTGAGGCTTATAAAAAGTATGTTGAATAACATTATTATTTTCCTCTTGTGGTTCATCATTAATAATCCATCTATATGTCATATTGGCTGGTGAGTTTCCAAATTTTCCAGAGAAATACCCTTTAGGATCACGAATTTCAGCAGTCAGTTTAACCGGCATTACAGTGAACGCGATATTGTTCTCAGAATGTTGTAAAGTGAATATTGGGCTTTCATGATAAATGTCTTGGTTTTTATGTATAGATCCAATGAGTGAATCTAGAAAAATATTAATAACATTGTATAATAATATTAGATGAAAAATTGATAAAATAATTACTACCATTTTCGGATTGACGTCTCAATGACTTTACCTGTCAGCTTAAAAGTATGAAGAACAGTTTTTATCGAATGCGAAGGGACACCGAAAGGACATTCCCATACATCAACTTGCACTGTATAGTTACCAGCTTTCAATGTTGAAGATGATTCAAATATCACTGGATATACAACTTCACGTTCAGTTGAAACAATGGTTTTATCATGTTGAGGAAACTGGTCAAATTTGAACCGATATTCCAACGCTGGAACATCTGTTCCATATTTATATTTAAAAGTAAAAGTGATTGGAGCATCAAATGTAACAGGTCCATCGTCATACATTTCAATCCAGTCACAGGCTAAAGTAAAAAGTGATTGGACAGAAAAAAGTGAATCAAAAGGATTCTCAAAGTGCTTGCACATCTTATTTAAAATGAATAAAATTTACACCATAAAATAAGTTGATGCAAAAAGATTTTTCATTGTATTTTATAAAATAATAGTTGTATTGAATTAAACTTACATATTTCATTGATGAATGAGACGAAACACAGAATGAAGAATGATAATAAACTTCTCATGGTTGGTCTGAAATTACAGATGATTTGCACTTGAATAATGTTTAGATGAAAAATGTTTTACAACACTCATCTCTACAAAACTCCAATGGTAGCTTCATGATATGGCTTACAAGCGGCAATGACCTTCGCTGGTTGTAAAGGTCAACCGCACTAGAGGGCGATGAAGATAAAGTTGCTTCAACAGAGTTTATTTGAAGACTCATATCATTACCATAATATGAAGCTACCATCGGAGTTATGTAGGGATAAATATTTGACAGTTTCCATCTAAACATTGTTCAAGTGCAAATCATCGTTAATATCAGACCAACCATGAGAAGTTTATCATCATTCTTCATCTTGTGTTTCGTTTCATTCAACAATGGAATATGTAAGTTTAATATTTATTTGATGCAATTATTTAATGAACTAAGCGTAATGTAATAATATAACTTGTTTGAAGTGTAAGCTCAATTATCTCGGTTGCTGTCTATTTTTTATTTTCAGTCTGTGACGCAGCTCCTACGCTGTATGACTTTGGCCCTGGAACAATTGGTGCACCAATGGTATTTCAAGTTTCTACTAACTATGGCACATATGAACCGACATTTGAATATCGATTCAAATTTGACCAATTCCCACAATATGATAAAACCATTGTCAAATATGGTTTTATGGAGTACAAGGTAACATTTGAATCAGCGAAAGCTGGTAACTATTCAGTAAAAATTGATGTATTGCATTGTCGTCAAGGGTTTCCAACTTATTGGATAGGAACTGTTAATTCTACCTTCCAGCTTACAGGTAACGTTATCGATTCATCACCCCGGAAATATTATCAACATTAAGCTTATTTTATGTATTTTTCTAGATTCCCTCACTGGAACTATAGCTGTAAATGATGATGCGAATAAAAAAGTTGTTTCCACTGCAGAGGCATATAAACTTACTGCCAGAATGACTTATTATTTCGGGTTTTTCGACTCTGCTAATATAACTTACAAGTGGATTATTAATGATGAACCACAAGAAGGAAACGATAGTGTTATTCAACATACTTTTTCCCAGCCTCAACTGAACAACATTTCGGTGATTGTTACAGCAACTAAAACCAATGGAAGTGGTCTTATACAAAAATCTGGTACATTCAACACTACATTGGAAAGCAGAGCTCCAATCACTAATTTGACTGTTGATGGTCCAACCGAGGTTAAAGTGTTTGAAAGACTTCAACTGGACTGCAAAATTCATGGAGCAACACCTCCATTTCATTACGAGTACTCTTTTCGGATGGACAAACCTTACAGTGAACAAATTACTGCTATGAAAGATTCGAATGAAAGCTTTTTCTCATTGATAAGGTATTTTAGTGGTAAAGGAACAAGAAGTCTAAAAATTGTTGCTAAAAATGATGTATCTTCGTTTACAAAGAACATGGACATTTCAGTCTATTAATCTATAGAACGCGATTGTAACCACTCGAAAAGCCGACAGAAATTTTGAAAAGACTTAAATCACAACTTTCAGGAGGAACCACTACTTCAAATTGATCGCGACATAATTATTTTCATCCCAATTATGCGATTTATTGGCCTTTTCACGTTTTACCTGGTTTATGCTTTTATCCTCTTCAAGAGTTGATCACCATAGGGTGATGGAAGGACAAAAAACTCAAATTATGGATGAAATAAAGATCCTCATCATAATGAGCCTAATGTTAATCTTATAATAGAAGTGTCATTGTAAACCGACCTTCGTGGTCGTCAACCAGCCATACCACTAGAGGAACCAACACCAGACAGTCATTGGCTCCATCGATCCCAAAACCAAGCTCATTTGATAGATGAATACATTTTAAAGAAACACTTATTGTAATTCAAATTTTTAACTCTTTTATTATTATTGTATATAAAAAATGATTCAATTATGAATAATTAGTTTTATATTTTCACCCTTTTTTACTCATTTCTGGTGTGAATTTTCAGCAAAACTAGAACCTCACTGAAATTGAGAAAAAAGCGATTGAATTTCTATAACAGAAGGAAAGGCAAAGAGTAAAAGTTATACACTTAGAATTTCATAGATCGTGAAAAATACTTTAATAGACTGTAATAATTGAGCTTTTGCCAAAATTATTTACATCATTTTTAACATTAATGTGAAAATTTCTTATTCCCTTTTCGCTGAAATAATGAACAATTGAGAAAGAGGTTTCATTTGTGCTTCGAGCAATGCTTTCATAGATGTAAGGTTTTCCCATTGAAAAAGAATAGTCATATTGAAATGGAGGTGTTCCACCATGAATTTTAAAGTCTAGTTGAAGTCTTTCAAACACTTTAACCTCGGTTGGACCATCAACAGTCAAATCAGTAATTGGATCTTTGCTTTCCAATGTAATGTTGAATGTACCAGATTTTTGTATGAGACGACTTCCATTGGTTTTATAATAGTTGCTGTAACAATCACTGAAATGTTGTTCAGTTGAGGCTTATAAAAGTTACGTTGAATAAACGATGTTAACCTGAAAGCTTAAAAGTATGAAGAACCGTTCTATCGAATGCGAAGGGACACCGTGACGACGATACCATACATCAACCTGCACTGTATAGCTATCGGCTTTTGTTGAAGACGGTTCAAATGTTACTGAATATTCAACTCGGTCTTCAGTTGAGACAATTGTTTTATCATATTGAGGGAATCGTTCGAATTTAAATCGATATTCATATGATGGATCATGTAGGCCATGGCGGTTTAAACCTGAGAAAGTGAACGGTGAATCAAGGGTAACAGGTCCATCGTCATGGACTTCAATCCAATTACAGGCTGAAGTAAAAAATGATTAGACAAGAAAAACGTGAATCAATAGGATTCTCAAAGTTCTTGCACATCTTATTAAAAATGAATAAAATTAACACCATAACATAAGTTGATGCAAAAAGATTTTGCATTGTAGTCTATAAATAATTGCATTGAATTACACTTACATATACCATTGATGAATGAGACTAAACACAGAATGAAGAATGATGATAAAATTTTCATGGTTGGTCGGTAATTATACATGATTTGGACATGAACAATGTTTAGATGAAAGTTGAATTCAAGTATTATAAATTAATAGTATAATAGTATTTACTTATCTCTACAAAAATCGGATGGAAGCTTCATATTATGGGTTACAATTGGTGATGACCTGGGCTAGTTTTAAAGGTTACCCGTTCTAGATGGCGACCGAGAAAACAGTTGTTTTAACAGAGTTTTTGTAATGTATTTTGTTGACTGATTTGTTCTTTCTATCAAATTTCGTCGTGGTCTAGATTAACCAGTCAGAATTCATCATTAATCCATTCAATCGACAATAGCGAGGGAGCTAACGGTTTGTCCATTGTATTCTAACTGATCTAGCGACAGCGACTCGACATCTAACTGATAACCTTTGGAGTTGAAGTTAATTCTTGACGGAAATGATGGTTTTATTCTGTTCAAGTAGGTTCCATTTTTATCATTTTCCGTTTCTTCTTCGCTTTTTGATCGAAAATCAGAGCGAAGTAAACTTTGAAAGAAAACTTACTTAGTGACAAGTCTAGGTAGATAAGGATATGAATCAATTTTTACAAATTTTTCTTAATTGATTGAGGTTTGTGCAAATTGTCTGAGCTTAGGCCATGAAGTACAACCTTAAACACTTTCACAACCAGATGATCGTCTACTTAGACATCTAACATTAGATTAACCTTTAGGTCTATTTAAATTGATACATAAGCCATGAATACATCCCTATCTTTAGTTATAACTGGTTTGTAGTTCAGAACGCTATGAATAGTTATTTCCAACAAACCAGAAATCGAGAAGATTTGTTCTCTATCTTTCGATATTTAACAGAATAAGGTGTAAAATACTTTAATGGACTGAAATGATCATAGACTTGCTAAATGAAGATACATCATTTTCAAGAACAATATATAAATCTCTTTTTCCTTTATCGCTGAAATAATTGATTAATGAGAAAAGGCTTTCATTCGTGCCTTTTACAATTTTTTCTCTTTCGGTGTGGGGGTTCTTCATCGAAAAATGATAGGTAATATAAAATGGAGGTGTTCCTCCGTGAATTTTAAAATCAAGTTGAAGTCTTTCAAATACTTTAACCTCGGTGGGACCATCAACAGTAAAGTTAGTAATTGGATCTTTACTTTTCAATGTAATGTTGAATGAACCAGATTTTTGTATAAGACGACTTTCATTGGTTTTAGTTGCTGTAACAATCACTGAAATGTTGTTCAGTTGAGGCTGGGAAAAAGTATGTTCAATAACACTATCGGTTCCTTCTTGTGTTTCATCATTAATAATCCATTTGTAAGTTATATTGGCTGGTGGGATTCCACATCGTCCCATGAAATACCCAGATGGATCACGAATCTTAGCAGTCAGTTTAACTGGCATCTCAGTTGAAACAAAATTTTTATCCAAACTATCATCTTTTTCAATGGATTGCTCTGCATTTATAAATCCAATTAGTGAATCTAGAAAAGTTGATACAAAATTGAAATGCAGGGTGTTGAGTCAAATAGAATAGAATAAAATAGTTTCTCTAATTTTTTAAATTCCATATATTCAATTAGCTGCATTTTCTTACTGCCTAGAAGATGCAAAACAAAACTTTGACTAACTTAATTTTTTCTTATTTTTTGTTTGATTACATGGAATTCAGTCTTTAGAACATTTACCATGACAAATTGTAGAAAAATTAGCTCAAGAGTTCTGAAAGCGATGAAATTAGCGGAAATGAACGATCGATTAGGAGCACTGGGTCAACTAAAATTTGGATAATTTTCATTCTCTAAGATTAATTGCAATCTCAAATATCAGAAATCTCGGATATTTCAATCCGCAAAAAAATATTTCTTCAGTCAATTTGGCTAGATGTTATGATTTCATTTGCTATGTCCTGACAAAATTGTAAAAAATTAAATGCTGTACTAAAAAGTGAATCATGGATCCATTAGAAATAGATCAGAAGATATCAACTTTGAATGAGAAGACAGATATTGACAGTTTTTTTTGACTCATAATGTAATAGACGTTTAAGCATACTGTTGCTATTGTTGGATTAAGACGTCTTTACCTGAAAGCTGAAAAGCACGAAGAGCAGTTGCGATAAAACGTGAAGGGAAGCCAAGAAACCAAACATCAACTTGCACTGTATAGTTACCAGCTTTTGGTGTTGAAGATGATTCAAATGTCACTGAATATTCAATTAGCCTTTCATTTGAGACGAAGGTTTTATCATGTTGAGGGAATTGTTCAAATTTGAACCGATATTCAAATGATGGATCATCTGTTTCAAAGGTATTTTCAACTGTGAAAGTGGTTGGTTCATCAAGGGTAACAGGTCCATAGTGTTCAATTTGAATCCAGTTACAGGCTAAGTAAAAAATGAATAGAAACAAAAACGTGAATCAATATGATTCAATGCTACACATATTCATGTACAAAAACTCCAACGACAGCTTAATATTAAAGTGTACAGCAGTGATGTGCAATATTCATTTCCAATATTAACTAGGACAGAATTTCGATATTTTTCATGGAAATTCGCCACTTTTTCAATGGACAAAATAACGATAAATATAGATGATTATTGATAACGATAATATTGCACATCTCTATCGTAAGGCTTTTGATCTATTTATTTGATAACTTTACCATAAAGATGAAAGGTTTTAGGAGCAGTTCCTATGAAATGTGTAGGGACACCGAGTTGACCTTCCCATACATCAACTTGTAACGTAAATTCGCCACTTTTCTTGACACAAGTTGATGCAAATGTTACTGAGTATCGAACTTGAATTGAAGTTGAGACAATGGTTTTATCATGTTCAGGAAATTGGTGAAATTTGAACCGATACTCATATGATGTGTCATTTGACTTAGAGGAATTAGAAACTGTAACTATGAACTCGATTGGATCACTAATTGATTTAGGTAGTGAGTTGTACAAAAAAATAGTTCCGTTGGGTGAGTAAGAACACTCAACATAGGCTGAAAAAAGACAAGAATAAAGTAAATTGAAAGTTTCTCAAAGATGACTCAATAAAGATAAAATCAAACAATGAATTAATGCATAAAGATGATGAGTTTCAGCATAGATGTTCATTAAAAAGTTGCATTAAATCTATATTAATATTGAACTAATATTGACATTAATATTAAACTTACATATTTCATTGTTGAATGAGACGATACACAGAAGTAAGAATGATGATAAAATTCTCATGGTGATTTGCACTTGAACAATATTGACTTAAAAGTTAAAAGTTGCAAATGATCATCAAAACAAAACTCCGATTATAGCTTTATATTAGGGTTTACAAGCGGCAATGACCTGTGCTGGTTGTAAAGGTCAACCGCACTAGAGGGCGATCGAGATAAAAGTTGCTTTAACAGAGTTTGCATTTGAAGACTCTTTTGATTGTCATCACCACTTGTAAACCATGCTATGAAGCTGTCATCGGAGTTTTGTTGTGATAGCTGTCATCGGAGTTTTGTTGTGATAATTGTTTGAAAACAACTTTCATCTAAACATTGTTCAAGTGCAAATCATCTGTAACTTCAGACCAACCATGAGAAGTTTATCATCATTCTTCATTCTGTGTTTCGTCTCATTCGTCAATGGAATGTGTGAGTTTAATATTAATTTGATGTAATTATTATTGTAATATTTAATAAACTAAAAATGGATCCCATCAAATCTCAAAATATTGAATCGAGATTAATCTTTTAAATTGAAAGAATCAAAGAAAGAAGATGAGATGTGATGTCACACCAAGCCATAGATAACGACATATTGAGATTTTTAATATCAATAAATGGTTGATGGTATCCACTCTAACTGCACTGTAATAAGACAGCTTGATAAAGATGTAAACACTCGTTTATCTCCGGTTTTTGTTTTTTTTATTTCCAGTCTATGACACAGCTCCTAGGCTGTATGACTTTGGGCCTGGAACAATTGGTGCACCAATGTTATTTAGATATTCATTCGACGATGCAAGAATGGGTCCTCCATATGAATTTCGATTCAAATTTGCCCAATTTCCACAATATGATAAAACCCTTGTCTCAGATCAAAATGGTAAAGATTACGTCGTAACATTTGAATCAGCGAAAGCTGGTAACTATACAGTACAAATCGATGCATGGTATTCTCGTCATGGAATTCCTTTTCATTGGATAGGAACTCTTCACTCTACTTTCCAGCTTACAGGTAACGTTTTGAATACCCATCCGACAAATACCAACATCAAGCTCATTTTATATATTAATATTTTTCTAGATTCACTAACTGGAACTATAGCGGTAAATGATGATGCAAGGAAAAAGGTTGTTTCCACTGCAGAGACGTTTAAACTCACTGCCAGAATGAGTTATTATTTCGGGTTCTTCAACTCAGCTGCTATAACATACAAATGGATTATCAATGATGAACAACAAGAAGAAAGCAAAGAGGTTATTGAACATACTTTTTCTCGGCCTCAACTGAACAACATTTCAGTGATTGTTACAGCAACTAAAACCAATGGAAGTCGTCTTATACAAAAATCTGGTACATTCAACCTTACATTGGAAAGCAAAGATCCAATTACTGATTTGACTGTTGATGGTCCAACCGAGGTTAAAGTGTTTGAAAGACTTCAACTGGACTGCAAAATTCATGGTGGAACACCTCCATTTCATTATGACTATTCCTCCTGGATGGGAGGACCTTACAGCGAACATATTGATGTTACTAAACCTTTGAATGAAAGCCTTTTCTCATTAATCAGATATTTCAGTGAAAAAGGAACAAGAAAGCTAAAAATTGTTGCTAAAAATGATGTATCTTCAATTACAAAATGGATGGAGATTTCAGTCTATTAGTCTATAGAACGCAATTGTTACCACTGGAGAAATCTTGATAAGAATTAACATGTTTTTGATGTTACTCTTCACAAAAGATGAATCTCTTTGATACTAGGTCAAACGATCGCTCGCCAAGATCGGATTGTGCTTAAAACATAGTCAATCATCATTTAGTAGAGCTATATATTTTTCTATGCATCAGAATAAAAAATAAATATACAATTAACGAAATTACATACGAGTTTGAAAAAACTGATTTTAAATTGATCATAACTCAATTTAATAAATGTGAATTTCAATAACCAACTCAATAATGTCACTTTTTTAATATTGCGATTAGCATCTAATTGATAATCATTATTGGTGAAATTTAATTTGAGTGTTTAGTAAATTCTTAAAATGCATCATAAGAAGGCATTTTTTACTTATGAATACAAACCAGATAGAATGGGAATTTAGAGGTGATATGTGATGCAATTAGATCTAACAAGGGGGATACCCGAGGTCATCCGAACCGATTTCAATGATTAGTGTGTCATTGAATTCGTCTTATTAAAAAACATTATAGTTCGTCTTCTTTTGAGTAGCAAATGGACAGAAGGGTCAAAAATCGCCATTTATTGTCTATCGCTATGCATAGATCAATGGGAAAGCAATAATATGAACCCATTGCGATGAGCCTTTTTGTTTCACTCATTTTGTTTTGTATGCTCTTTACCATACTTTACATGTAAAAAATTGAATTTTAATTCCGTTTTTCTCGTTAATCTTTAATTTGCTACTCGGGAGATTTCGAAACAATTAAACACACATAAAACCTAATTAGTTTATGATAAAAATATTAACTTTTATTCGGATGACCTCGGGTACTTTCCTCGTAAGTGCATTTTCTGGCTGATCTTCAAAATTTGCAACAGAAAAATGTTTCGATATTTCGGTATTATTCAAGCTCCAAACAATTTTATTTTAGTGAAACTATCAATTGTATTTATTCAATAGGATGCAGAGCAAAGAGTTGCCGTTATGTACTTAGGATTTCATATTAGGTCATCCGGGAAGTCGTGCCCTCTGACCCTGTTTTCAAAATTTGCGATAGATATCGACAATTTTTTCAAATTCACTATTTTAAACTGACCCAATTAATACGCTCTGATATTACCAATTAATCAATTGTCAAGTTTTTCAACCAAATACAGTTTAGATAACATAATAGAATTGGCGAGAAATTACTTTAATACACTGAAATGTTGAATATTTGACGAATTATCGATACATCATTTTCAAGAAAAAGATATAAACTTCTTGTTCCTTTTTCGCTGAAATAATTAGATATTGAGAAGAAGCTATCATTTGTGTCTTTTTCAACACTTTCATTTTCGATATAAGGTTCTTCCATCGACAAACGATAACGATAATGAAATGGAGGCGTTCCTCCATGAATTTTGAAGTCTAGTTGAAGTTTTTCAAACACTTTAACCTCGGTGGGACCATCAACAGTCAAATCAGTAATTGGATCTTTACTTTTCAATGTAAGTTTGAATGTACCAGATTTTTGTATAAGACGACTTCCGTTGGTTTTAGTTGCTGTAACAATCACTGAAATGTTGTTCAGTTGAGGCTGGGAAAAAGTATGTTCAATAACACTATCGCTTTCTTCTTGTTGTTCATCATTGATAATCCATTTGTATGTTATATTGGCTGGTGGGACAACATATCGTCCGGTAAAATACTCAGTAGAATCAAAAATATAGGCAGTCAGCACAACCAGCCTTGCAGTGGTCACAATATTTTTTCTCAAACTATCAGAGTTAACTGATTGGTTTTTATCTATGATTCCAATGAGTGAATCTAGAAAATATTAATAACATTATAATATTAGATACAGAATTGACAAGCACTGATATTATCAGATTGGCGTCTCAATAACTTTACCTGAAAGCTCGAAAGTACGATGAACAGTTCCTAACAAATACGAAGGGACATCGTGACGACAATGCCATACATCAACCTTTACTGTGTAGGTACCAGCTTTCGGTGTTGAAGACGAATCAAATGTCACTGAGTATACAGCTTGTGAAGTTGAAACAATGGTTTTATCATGTTGAGGAAATTGGTCAAATTTAAACCGATATTCATATGATGGATCATCTGTTGTATATCGATTATTAACTGTGAAAGTGATTGGTAAGTCAAGGGTAACAGGCCCATCGTGTTCAATATAAATCCAGTCACAGGCTAAAGTAAAAAATGATTGAATGAGAAAAAAGTGAATCAAAAGGACTCTCAAAGGTACATAGCAATATTTAAATTGCATAAAATTAACACCATAACATAAGTTGATGTAAAAAGATTTTTGACTGTTTTATAATCTTGCTTTTCTAATCTTAATAGTTTGCTAATCTTACCTGTAACCTCCATGGTATAAAGAATAGTTCCTATCGAATGAGTTTGGACCCCGAGTTGTAATTTCCATACGTCAACTTGTACTGTATAGTTGCCACCTTTCGATTCACAGGTTGATGCAAATTTTACTGCGTATGTTGTCATTGACTCATGTGATACGATGGTTTTATCAAGCTGTGGAAATTGGTCAAATTTGAACCGATATTCATATGATGTAGCTCTGGATCTATAGGACTCTGCAACTTCAACCATAAATCTAATTTCAGCATTAACTACAAAAGGTCTCATGATAAAAACACTAAAAGTTTGGTTTTGGGACCAAACTTTCTCACCATAAGCTGAAAGTAAACGAAATAGACAATAAAACGTGAGTCAGTAGGATTTTCAAGATGACTGAGTGTTTGTACATCAAACACAGCATCTCATTGAAATTGAATAAAATTTAAACCATGACAATAATTAATGTAAAAAGATCTTTTATTTTAGCTTAGAAGATCATTAAATAATTATATAAAATTAATATTGAACCTACGATTTCCATTGATAGTTGAGACGAAACACAAAATAATGAATGATGATAAACTTCTCATGGTTGGTCTGAAATTACAGATGATTTGCACTTGAACAATGTTTGGATGGAAACTGTTTTCAAACATTTATCACAACTAAACTCCGATGACAGCTTCATATTATGGTTTACAAGGGGCGATGACCTGGGCTAGTTGTAAAGGTTACCCGCGCTAGATGGCGATGGAGATAAAGTTGCTTCAACAGAGCCTTGTAATGTATTTTGTTGACTGATTTGTTATTTCTATCAAATTTGTGGCCACTAGTTTCGTCGTGATCTAGATTAACCATTGGACTTAATCATTAAACTATTCAATCGACAATAGCGAGTGAGGTTATAAGAACTCGAACTGGCTTTTAGTTTTCGTGCTATTAGGTTAAAGTTTGAGCCAACGGTCTGTCCGTGTTTGTATTCTGATCTAGCGACAGCGAAGTGACATCTAACTGATAACCTTTGCAGTTGAAGTTCAGTTCTTGACAATGATGTTTCAATGAATATATAAAAATATAAAAACTCAATCCTAAAGCCTAATATGAATGTAAAATGTTTCAACTTACAATTTTTGAGTGGGTCATAGTGAATGTGTTGATGATGATGTGTTAAACACAAACAAAATGTAAAATTTGACCTATCGATAAAACTTTCATCTTTTGAGTTACATACTCGTGAGTTTTATCGGTGAAATATAAAATTTCAGGTATCTTTTACGGTCACAAAGAGCACTCAGACCAAACTGAAAAGAAATGATCTGTTGTACGAAAAACAGAAATTTGGCTTCGCGAAATAAGTTCATTTTATGGCTGATCTTTATCAGAAAAATGATTTTGATTAAAAAATCTGGTTGAATAAGTGTAAAATAGGTACCGAGGTTTCAACTTTAACCTCAATTTTCTCAAAAACTGTCGATTAGGCAAATTTTTTGATAGCACTAATGGACTCAGTTTTTGTTTCCCTACCCTTCAGTACCAAATCATACTACGAGAAAAATAGTCCTTTACACAGTTCTGGTTATTATTGTTAATAAGAAATGATTCAATTACATTGTATGAATGATTACTAATCATTGATTAGTTTTAAATTTTTACTCTTATCATGGTTGGTTTGAAGTTACCAAGGTTTTTAGGTAATACACGATTTGCACTTGAATAATGTTTAGATGAAAGTTGTTTTCAAACAATTATTAATATTATATCACAACACAAGTCCGATGGCAGCTTCATATTATGGTTTACAAGCGGTGATGACCTGGGCTAGTTGTAAAGGTCAACCGCACTAGAGGGCGATCGAGATAAAAGTTGCTTTAACAGAGTTTATTGCATTTAAAGCCTCTTTTGATTATCATTACCGCTTGTAAACCCTAATAAAGCTTTATGAAGCTGTCATGATAAATATTTGCAAAAATTTCTATCTCAACATTGTTCAAGTGCAAATGATCAATAATCTCAGACTAACCATGCGAAGTTTATCATCATTTTTCATTTTGTGCATTGTCTTATCCATCAATGGAATGAGTAAGTTCAATATTTATTTAATGCAGTTATTTCATTAACTAAGCGTACCGTACAAGTGTACCATAAGATACAAGATAAGTAGCTTGTTTGAGAAGTAAACACTCAATTTTCTCCGGTTGTTGTCGATTTTTATTTCAGCCTGTGACGCGTATCTTGAGCTGTATGATTTTGGACCTGGAACAATTGGCGCACCAATGTTATTTAGAGTTGATTCTCACAACGGTCCAACGGGCCCTTCATATGAATTTCGATTCAAATTTGACCAATTACCACAATATGATAAAACCATTGTCTTGAATCAATATATTGTAGATTACGTCGTAACATTTGAATCAGTGAAAGCTGGTAACTATACAGTACAAATTGATGCATGGACTTGTAATCACGGCGTTCCTTTTGATTCGTTAGGAACTCTTAATTCTACCTTCCAGCTTACAGGTAACGCTATCGAGTCATCAATCCAGAAATACCAACATAAAGCTTATTTTATGTATTTTTTTAGATTCCCTCACTGGAACTATAGCTGTAAATGATAATCCAAGGAAAAGAGTTGTTTCCACTGCAGAAACGTTTAAACTCACTGCCAGAACGAAATATTATTTCAATTTTTTCAACTCAGCTAATATAAGTTACAAATGGATTATTAATGATGAGCCACAAATAGAAAGCGAAGGTGTTATTAGACACTCTTTTTCCCAGCCTCAATTGAACAACATTTCAGTGATTGTCACAGCAACTAAAACCAATGGAAGTCGTCTTATACAAAAATCTGGTACATTCAACCTTACATTGGAAAGCAAAGATCCAATTACTAATTTGACTATTGATGGTCCAACCGAGGTTAAGGTGTTTGAAAGAGTTCAACTGGACTGCAAAATTCATGGTGGAACACCTCCATTTCAATACGAGTACACTTTTTGGATGGACAAACCTTACAGCGAATATATTAATGTTATCAAAGATTCGAATGAAAGCTTCTCATCATTAATCAGATATTTCAGTGCAAAAGGGACAAGAACTGCGAAAATTGTTGCTAGAAATGATATATCTTCGATTGAAAAGAGGATGGAGATTTCAGTCTACTAGTCTATAGAACGGACTCGTGATCGCTCGAAAAAACTGGTATAAATTTTCATAAGAATTGACATTTTTTTCAATGCTGCTCTTCAAACAAGGTGAATCTATGAATATTAAATTGAAAATTTTAAACTAATGTCACATTTAAAGTGTTAGTGATAAACTCCAAATAAACATTTTTGAAAGATCTGACTTGAGATTTACAGACAAAATCATGAGGAACAGTACTGATAAAATTGGTGGACAAAGTAAAATCGTGAAGTTGGTGAAACCGTTTAGGAAAAAATACAACTGAGGAAGAATTTTATCAAATGAAAAAGAGCAAGTTGGATCTCAGGTCAGTATTGAAAGTGATTCGAAACTGTTTCGCTGAAATTCAATTAATTGCTGAGATATTTTGATTTCTCATTTAATATCTTATATTTTAATAATTTAATTGAAAGCTGAGAAAACACAAAAATCAAAAAACGAGCTGTAAAATTAAAAATGGTCGAAACGGGGACCCTATGCATAAACTGTATTTTGATTAAAATTTATGTTAGTCAATAGGAGCTGAAAATTTTTGCCATTTTTCAATTAAAAATACCTCAGAATTTAATATAGATAATCAATTTTTGTTGATTGCGAAAAATGCATGAATATTGTATTATGTTAATAAGATGCTAACCAGTATTCATCTCTGTCCGATATTCGAATGAAATAAAATAAAAAATAATAAAATTAAAATCGACTCTAAACTGTATCCGGCCAACCTAATAATTTAAATTTTAACTCTTTTATCATTATTGTATAATAAAAATGGTTCAATTATGAAAAATTAGTTTTAAATTTTTGCTCTTCTTTTTTACTCGTTTCTAATGGGAATTTTCAGCAAAACTAAAATGTCATTCAAATTGAGAAAACAAATTGAATCTGTACAAGAGGATAATAAGCAAAGGGTAAAAGCTTAGAAGACATAGTTTTGATGAAAAATAGCTTTAATAGACTGAAATCGTCAAGGTTTTTATAAAAAAATTAACATCATTTCCAACATAAATGTTTAATTTTCTTATTCCCTTTTCGCTGAAATGACGAACAATTGAGAAAGAGGTTTCATTTGTCTCTCGAGCAACGTTGTCATAGGTGCTAGGTTCGCCCATTACAAAAGTATAGTCATAATGAAATGGAGGTGTTCTGCCTTGAATTTTGCAGTCCAGTTGAAGTCTTTCAAACACTTTAACCTCGGTGGGACCATCAACAGTAAAGTTAGTAATTGGATCTTGGCTTTTCAATGTAGTGCTGAATGAACCAGATTTTTGTATAAGACGACTTACATTGGTTTTAGTTGCTGTAACAATCACTGAAATGTTGTTCAGTTGAGGCTGGGGAAAAGTGCGTTCAATAACCTTAGAGCTTTCCTCTTGAATTTCATCATTAATAATCCATTTATAAGTTACATTGGCTGACGGGATTCCACATCGACCCATGAAATACCCAGTAGGATCACGAATTTCAGCAATCAGTTTAACCGGCTTTTCAGTGGAAAAGACATTTTCTGCAGTAATTTCAAGCCCAATAGATCTAACTTTTTGATCTTTTTTTATAAATCCAATGAGTGAATCTACAAAAAGATGAACAAGTGTCACAATAAGTAGATTTTTGACTTTTTACGATTGGTGTCTCATCGACTTTACCTGAAAGCTCGAAAGTGCGAAGATAAGTTCCTATGGAATAAGAAGGAACACCAAGAAACCAACCTTCAATTTGCACTGTATAGTTACCAGGTTTCGATGTTGAAGATGAATCAAATATCACTGAATATTCAATTACACTTTCATTTGAGACGAGGGTTTTATCATGTTGAGGGAATTGTTCAAATTTGAACCGATATTCATATAATGGGACATCTGTTTTAAAGGTATTTTCAACTGTGAAAGTGATTGGGATATCGAAGGTAACAGGGCCATTGTCATGCATTTCAATATAGTGACAGTCTAAAGTAAATAATGAATAGACAAGAAAAACGTGAATCAAAATGAAAAGTGATCGACTGTTTGTATTAATAACATTCAAGCAAATTTCCAATAATGTCTTCATATTAGAGTGTAAAGTAGTGATGCGCAATATCCATCCATATCAATCAGAACAAAAAGTAGATTTTCTTCATCGAAATTAAAATCTTTTTGATGGATAAAATCACGATATCGAGTGCAGAAATACTGTTTATTATCTTTGATAAGGATAATATCACTTTTCTCTAGTGTACAGGCAGCTTTTAGATCTACTTATTTTATTGATTACTGGATAACTTACCATAAAGAACGAAGGTATCGCGAGCAGTCCCTATCGAATGAGTTGGAACACCGAGATGAACTTCCCATACATCAACATGTACTGTATAGTTGCCCTCTATTGGTTCACAAGTGGATGAAAATTTCACTTCATGTGCACCGCGATATGAAGTTGAGACAATAGTTTTATCATGTTGAGGGAATTGGTCGAATCTAAACCGATATTCATATGTTATATTCATCGGTTCATTTGTCACTTTGACTAAGAATTGAATTGGGCAAAAAACTCGACACGGTCCCGAGTTACTCAACCTAAAAGTACGGTTTTGTGACCAAGCATACGGCGCATAGGCTGAAAGTAAACAAATAGACAAATTGAGTTGAGAGATTTCAAAAAGATGGCTGACTAAAAATAAAACCATAACATGAATTATCTGAAAAGATTTTTGATAAAAGCATAATTGTAGCTTGTTGGCTTGTTAAATAGTCGCACTGTATTAATATTAAACCTACGCTTTCCATTGACGAATGAGACGAAACACAGAATGAAGAATGATGATAAACTTCTCATGGTTATTCTGAAGTTCTAGATGAGCTGCACTTGTACAATGGTTAGATGGAAACTGTTTTCAAATAATCATCACAAGAAGCTCCGATGATACCTTTAAATCAGTTTTTACAAGTGGTTATGACCTGGGCTGGTTGTAAAGGTCAACCACACTAGGTGGAGATAAAAGTTGCTTTAACACAGTTGCAGAGTTTAAACATATTGAGGCTATTTTGAAATTGAAACCATTGAAATAAAGGAAACATTGAAACATTTCTCAAATATGCAAAAATCAAAAATTTTTAAGTTTTAGTCTCAAACACGTCAAAATAAGATTTTGTCTTACATAAAAAACAATCGAACTGTCCAACTTCATACCTGGGCTTTGAAAATATAAAAAGGTTTCAAATCTGACCTCAAAGTTGTTGGAAAAGGTGCAATTTGCCTAAAATAACTCAACAATGTTTAGATAACCATCAAAACTCAATTTCATGGACTTTCCATAAAAACTACATGTATTTTTCCTCAATTGAAACAAGAATGTCACTAAACTGAAGAAAAAATGAATCTTTAAAATAGGATAAAAAGCAAAGAGTAAAATTTATGTACTTTGGATTTCATAGACTTGGTGAGAAATACTTTAATGAACTTTAATAGTAACTCTCTCGCTAATTGTCGATACCTCATTTCTAAGAACAATATGTAAATCTATTGTTCCTTTTTCGCTGAAATAATTAATTATCGAGAAATAACTTTCATTTATGTCGCGAACAACGGCTACATCAGTGTTAGGTTCTTCCAAGGTTAGTGTTAAGTCCAGTTGATGTCTTTCAAACACTTTAACCTCGGTTGGACCATCAAAAGTTAAATTATTCATTGGATGCTTGCTTTCCAATGTAATATTGAATGTACCAGATTTTTGTATAAGACGACTTCCATTGGTTTTAGTTGCTGTAACAATCACTGAGATGTTGTTAAGTTGAGGCTGGGAAAAAGTCCGTTCAATAACCTTAGAGTTTTCCTCTTGAACCTCATCATTAACAATCCATTTGTAAGTTATATTAGCTGGTGGGATTCCACATCGTCCGGTGAAAAACCCAGTAGGATCACGAATTTCAGCAGTTAGTTTAACTGGCATTACAGTGACCACTAAATTATCCATCGGAAGTACATAAAAATGATTTTGGTCTTTGTCTATAAATCCAATGAGTGAGTCTAGAAAATAAATGCAAAATGATACAATTAGTAATTTTGCGACATTACAGGATTGGTATCTCGATAACTTTACCTGAAAGCTCGAAAGTATAAAGAACAGTTCCCAAGGAATAAGAAGGAACTCTAAGGAACCAAACATCAACTTTCACTTTATAGTTACCAGCTTTCCATGTTGAAGATGATTCAAATGTTAATGAATATTCAACTGAGCGTGAAGTTGAGACAATGGTTTTATCATGTTGAGGAAATTGGTCAAATGCGAACCGATATTCATATGATGGATCATCCACTCTATGATGATTAAACACTGAGAAGGTGATTGGGGCATCGAAGGTAATAGGGCCATTGTCGCCCATCTCAATATAGTTGCATTCTGAAGTAAATAATAAATAGACAAGAAAACGTGAATCAAAAGGATTCTAAAGTGATTAAGTGTTTGCACATAACATTAGATAAATAAAATGTCCAATGACGAATTTATTTTAGAGTGTACAATAGTGATGGGCAATATCCCTTTCCGATATCGATTAGGACAAAATTTGATTTTTTTTTCATCGAAATTTAACTCCTTTTCTTAGTGTAAAATAACGATGAATATCGTGTGAAGAAATGCCAATTGTGGTAACATCACACATCTCTAGTGTACACCCCATAAACAACTCATCTCTGTTTGCCTGGCGAGTCGCATTCTTACCGAAAAGCTCGAAAGAAGAATTAACAGCTCCTATCGAAAGAGTTTGGACACCGAGTTGACATTCCCATACATCAACTCGCACTGTATAGTTGCCCTCTTTTGGTTCACAAGTGGATGCAAATTGCACTGAGTACATGGTATCACCTTCAGTCGAGACGATGGTTTTATCATGCTGAGGAAACTCGTCAAATGTGAACCGATATTCATAAGATGTGTCATTTGATTCAGAGTGATTCGTAACTGAAATATAAAATCTGACTGGTGTATCAATCGATGCAGCTCCGTAGTGAAGTAGGAAGGTTCGGTTGTGTGACCAAACAAGCTTGCTATACACTGAAAGTAAAATGAATAGACAAGCGAAACGTCAAAAAGGACATCAAATATTATTGAGATCACACCAAGAACGACATCTTTTTGAAATATCTCATTAATAAAATTAACAACATAACATGAATTAATAGATCTTTGATTGTAGCGTAAATAGTTTATAAGTAGTTGCATTAAATTCATATTGAACTTACTCATTCCATTGATGGATAAGACAATACACAAAATGAAAAATGATGATAAACTTCTCATGGTTCAACTGAAGTTATACGAGATGTAGATGATTTGCACTTGAACAATGTTTAAATGAAAGTTGTTTTCAAACAATTTTCATAACAAAACTCCGATGACAGCTGCATGTTAGTGTTTACAAGCGGTTATGACCTGGGCTAGCTGTATAGGTAACCCACACTAGATGGCGACCCAGAAAAAAGTTGCTACAAAAGAGTAATGCAAGGCATTTGAAGACTTTATTTGATTCTTAACAAGATGAAAGTTTTGATCACTGTAAAGCAAAAGTCGAAAATAGTACTAGGTGTATCTAAATTAATCATTCGCGTGTTTTATCTTTAAAGCTCAATTGTGACCGCGCGAGACAAATCGAGAAAACTCACAGCAATTTTGATAAGACTTGCCATAGTTTCTGATGTTACTCTTCAGAAAAGATGAATCTTTTAGTATCAAATGTTTACTGTAATGTCACGTCTGTATTGGCCAGATTAATTGACCCTGGCTTTGTCAATTATTTACATCTCAGCCTGACAAGATATGGAAATTCAGTTCCAAACGTGATTTTCCATTTTTGGTTAAACAGTAAAATCTTCTGGTTAACATCAAAATATCTTTCGATTCCCTTCGGTCCTTGTCTCCGTTCAGCTCAATTCAATGTCTACATTCAATCCTTTTTTTCCTCTAACGTAAACTGGATAAAAATTTGAATGCTACCAATGAATTAACTGTCTTTATAAACCACCTTCATGTTCATCAATTAGCCATACCACTGGAGGAACCAACACAAGACAGTCATTGGCTCCATCGACACCAGGTTGATTCGATATATGCATACATTTTAATGAATCACTCTTTTATTATTGTGTATAAAAAATGATTCAGTTAAATGACTAATTTATGATTTTTACTCTTCGTTTTTTTCTGGCGTAAATTATCAACAAAACTAGAACATTTTGAAATGGCGAAAAACTGCATGCGAATGAATGACAGGAATAAGAGCAAAGAGTATAAGCTATGCAATCACAGTAAATCAAAAGTGGATTGTCAAAGTGGCTAAGAACAAAAATTTTTTAGTTTTTCTCATAGACAATGACCATTCTTCATCAACCATTCGAGTCTTTAAATGTGGATTGAATTTATTGTATTCAGTGAAAAGAAATTTACGATCAGCCATGATCGGGGGCTCAGCTTGTTATTTTTAAAAATAAAATTGGTGTTATATTGATTGTATTATAACCTGTGAGGAAAAATTTTGTTACAAATCAGGAGATCATGAATTTCTCAGAATTGGCTATAGCTAGAGGGCTGAATTTTTCTAGGAATTTAGATGGCACTATGAGCTACATTTGGTATAAATTTCAAGGCGAAGAAAGAATTAGTTCAGAACTAATCAATCATGAAAACTAGTGACTTCAAACCTGCCTGTCAAAACTTTTTTTTTGCCAATTGTGACCAACTCAGTCAAGCTGAAATAGTTAAAAAATTTTGTGAATTTGGTGTCAATCGAATGACCGCTAATAGGTGGTATCATAGATTATCATCTGATAGTGAAAATTTTCTCAAAAATCCAGCCGGAAGACCTGAAATGAAAATTACGTCATCGGTACGCAAAAAAGTTTTGGCAATGACGGAGAACAAAGTTTTTCCAGGATATCGAGCGATTGGAAGAAAACTTAATGTTGATAATCATACAGCTAAAAAAGTGGTGCAAAAAATGGAAATTAATGTGAAAAAAAGAAAAAAAGTTCCGAAAATTTCGGCTAAACAAGAATCAACGATTTCCGAAAGATTGCCTAAACTCAAGAAAGAATTGAATTATAAATTGGTGATTCTCGATGATGAAACCTATTTTGATCTGAATGGCCATGATTTTTATGGCGGTCGTTTTTTTTCATACAAAGAAATCGATCAAGTTCCAGATTCAGTGCAATTCAGATTCAAAGAAAAATTTGGAAAAAAACTTTTAATCTGGGCAGCAATTAGTGAATTAGGCATCTCTGAAATTTATTATCATGAATCTACTGGAGCTATGAATTCTGAAATTTACATCAATGAATGTATTCAAAAAAGATTGCTCCCTTTCATCAAAAAACACGGTGCAAGAAGAACGATTTTCTGGCCTGATCTTGCATCTTCTCATTATGCTGCTGCAACTTTATCCAAACTTTCAGAACTTTCTATTAATGTAGTTCCAAAGTTTTCTAACCCCCCAGCAGTCCCTGAATTAAGGCCAATCGAGACTTTCTGGAGTCACCTAAAAGCTAAAGTTTACGCTGACGGATTTGTTGCTCAGAATTCTGAGGAATTGATTAAAAGAATTAAAAGTCAGCTCAAAAAATTCAGTGCTGCCTATTTTAAAAGCCTCATGGCTAATCTCAAATTTAAAGTGAACGAGGCGGATCAACAAGGATTATCCTACATAAGAAGGAGCCTCTGATCTTTGGCTATAAATAGAGACCAACATTGAAATGATTGATCAATTAATTATTAAACTACGAAACAATTAACAATTTGTAACATAATTTTTCCTCACAGGTTATGTTCATCGGGAAGTACCCTGAACACTTTCACACCCAGATAACCTTCTACTTGCACATCTGATATTCACTTTTAGGGTCTGTTGAAATTTATTCATATGCCTTGTCTTTACATATAACTGGTGTGATTACAGACAATAGACAGTCCTTAGTCCATCTATCCCAAAACCAGGCTCATTTGATATATAAATATTGATATATATAAAGAATTACTCTTTTACATTACTCAATTACTCTTGAATTATTATTGTGTATAAAAAATGATTCAATCGTAGGGATGTAAACTTCCAGCAACAGTTAAAGCAGTAATTGTAGCTTTGCTTTTCAATGTAAGGTTGAATGAACCAGATTTTTGTATGATACGACTTCCAATGGTTTTAGTTGCTGTAACAATCACTGAAATGTTGTTCGATTGAGGCTGAGAAAAAGTATGAATAATAACCTTAGAACTTCCCTCTTGTACTGCATCATTAATAATCCATTTATAAGTTACATTGGCTGACGGGATTCCACATCGTCCCATGAAATATCCTTTAGGATCACGAGTAACGGCAATCAGTATAACTGGCATTTCAGTATAAACAACTGAAGAATGAGAAATTTCTCCTACTCTCAACCTTTCCATACCAAAACAATGATCATATTCTTGATCTTTTTTTATAAATCCAACAAGTGAATCTAGAAAAATCGATAAAAAGGGTGTTGCAGTCAAACTTTTAAATCGCAAAAACTTTTTCGAACTTTACTTAAATTTGAAAATTTTACATTTCCAAATAGTCAAATAACCAAGTAACAAGTGAAATAAATTGGTCAAAGTTTTGTTGTGGGTAACCTAGCAAGAACGATAAATGTAGATTATGGGCGCAACATTGTATCTAATTTGAAATCTTTTTAATGAAAAATTTCGATTTCAAAGCCTACATTTCTTTTAACTTAAAAGTAGCGTAAACGATGAAATTAGTAAAAATGAATGCTAGGTTAGGATCATTGGGTCAACTAAAATCTTGATGATTTTCATTCTCTAAGAGTGATTGCACTTCAATTTAATTTTACCTTGATTTAATTTCATTAAAGGTTATTATTTAACCATCTTTGATTTGCTAATTAGTTCTGGAAAATTGTAAGAAAATCTATTCTGAATATTCCGACTATTCCTGAATATTCAAATAGGAGCACAATTATGGTTGTATTAGAAGTAGATCAGAAGATATCAACTTTGAATAAGAAGGTAGATATTAATAGGTTTTAGTTCATATTAATGGATTGATGATTCAATAACGTTACCTGTAAGCTGGAAGGTGGAATTAACAGCTCCTAACGAATAAGAAGGGACACCGAGATGACATTGCCAAACATCGAGTTGCACGGTATAGTTGCCAGGTTTAACTGTTGAAGAAGATTCAAATGTTATTGTGTATTCAACGCCATATCTAGTAAAGATAATGGTTTTATCATGTTGAGGAAACTGGTCAAATTTGAATCTGTA